ATGTAAAAAACCATTGTTGGGTTTTATAACTAGCAAGATAGAATCTAGAACTGGGGGTATACAAGCTAGAACTAGGGGAATAGAAGCTAGAACTAACGTAGAATAAAGAACTAGCAAGTGTGCATGTAAAAAACCCTTGTTGGGTTTAGAACTAGCAAAGATAGAAGCTAGAACTGGGGGTATACAAGCTAGAACTAGGGGAATAAAAGCTAGAGCTAATGTAGAATAAAGAACTAGCAAGTGTGCATGTAAAAAACCATTGTTGGGTTTAGAACTAGCAAGATAGAAGCTAGAACTAGGGGTATATAAGCTAGAACTAGGGGAATAGAAGCTAGAACTAACGTAGAAGAAAGAACTAGCAAGTGTGCATGTTAAAAACCCTTGTTGGGTTTAGAACTAGCAAGATAGAAGCTAGAACTGAGGGTATAAAAGCTAGAACTAGGGGAATAGAAGCTAGAACTAACATAGAATAAAAAACTAGCAAGTGTGCATGTAAAAACCTTTGTTAGGTTTAGAAGTAGGAAGATAGAAGCTAGAACTGTGGGTATACAAGCTAGAACTAGGGGAATAGAAGCTATAACTAACGTAGAATAAAGAACTAGTAAGTGTGCATGTAAAAAACCCTTGTTAGATTTAGAACTAGCATGATAAAAGCTAGAACTGGGGGTATACAAGCTAGAACTTGGGGAATAGAAGCTAGAACTAACGTAGAAGAAAGAACTAGCTCTAAACCCAACAAGGGTTTTTTACATGCACACTTGCTAGTTCTTTATTCTACGTTAGTTCTAGCTTCTATTCCCCTAGTTCTAGCTTGTATATCCCCAATTCTAGCTTCTATCTTGCTAGTTCTAAACCCAATAAGGGTTTTTTACATGCACACTTGCTAGTTCTTTATTCTACGTTAGTTCTAGCTTCTATTCCCCTAGTTCTAGCTTGTATATCCCCAGTTCTAGCTTCTATCTTGCTAGTTCTAAACCCAATAAGGGTTTTTTATATGCACACTTGCTAGTTCTTTATTCTACGTTAGTTCTAGCTTCTATTCCCCTAGTTCTAGCTTATATACCCCCAGTTCTATCTTCTATCTTGCTAGTTTTAAACCCAACAAGGGTTTTTTACATGCACACTTGCTAGTTCTTTATTCTACGTTAGTTCTAGCTTCTATTCCCCTAGTACTAGCTTGTATACCCCCAGTTCTAGCTTCTATCTTGCTAGTTCTAAACCCAACAAGGGTTTTTTACGTGCACACTTGCTAGTTCTTTCTTCTACGTTAGTTCTAGCTTCTATTCCCCTTGTTCTAGCTTGTATACCCCCAGTTCTAGCTTATATCTTGCTAGTTCTAAACCCAACAATGGTTTTTTACATGCACACTTGCTAGTTCTTTATTCTACGTTAGTTCTAGCTTCTATTCCCCTAGTTCTAGCTTGTATACCCCCAGTTCTAGCTTCTATCTTGCTAGTTCTAAAACCAACAATGGTTTTTTACATGCACACTTGCTAGTTCTTTATTCTACGTTAGTTATAGCTTCTATTCCCCTAGTTCTAGCTTGTATACCCCCAGTTCTAGTTTCTATATTGCTAGTTCTAAACCCAACAAGGGTTTTTTACATGCACACTTGTTAGTTCTTTCTTCTACGTTAGCTCTAGCTTCTATTCCCCTAGTTCTAGCTTGTATACCCCCAGTTCTAGCTTCTATCTTGCTAGTTCTAGCTAGTTCTAGTTCTAATTCATCTTAGTTCTAGGCTCTTGGGAACGAAGAAAAGCTCCTCCTACCTCCGACGGAGCCCACCGAGACACCCCGACGACCCCGGCAACCTCCTCCCAGCTCCGGTAAGCCCGGACAGGCTCGAAAATCTCCGAACAGCAAAGAATAAACCCGAACGGCGAGAAATTGCACTGCAGAAAACTATAGTTTTGTGCCGACTTCGTACGCACTTTCTGATCGCCTCCAATCTCCGTTTCCGTCGATTTCTTCTTTGGTGAGTAGCCCTACATGTTGCATATCTCCTCCAATTTGTATCATGCTCTAATTCATTCTCTATCTCTCTCGGTAACATCCGAAATATCGCTCGACGGCAGCAGCGAGCAGAAAACAGCAGCGCCGTGCCGACTTCGCGCGTGTTTTACGGCCACCTCTGGTCTCCGTTTTCACTACCGTTTGCGCCGGTGTGTAGCCATTTATATTGTCTATCACACAGTATCTTCTTTTTATTTGGGCTCATTTTCTACCTCTCGTTATATTGCTTCGAATATCGCTCAGCGGCACCGTGGCAATTTCATTCATAGAGATACATTAATACACATTTTCGTTCTTTCTTAATTACGGCATTTCTCTTCATTCCCCTTCTACTCTACATCTCCTTACCTTTCTTTTTTCTTTTTTTTCTTTTTCTTCTTCTAGCAAATAGATTAATGCTCTGTGCGTCTCGGCCAGGACGACGAGCTTGAGAAAGCTCTTAGTTTTAGAGAGAGGTGAGAGAGAGAGAGGGGAGATGAGAGAGAGAGAGAGGAGATGAGAGAGAGATGATGTGAGTGCTGGGTTAGAGAGATTGAGGAGAGAGGATAAGAGAGAGAGGAGATGAGAGAGAGAGAGAGAGAGGAGATGAGAGAGAGAGATGATGTGAGTGCTGGGTCAGAGAGATTGAGGAGAGAGAATAAGGATAGTTTGAGAATTTTAGCTTAGCTAGCATGTGATAATTGATAAAAAGGGGCTGCATTACAAAGTGTCACACTTCAAGGGGCTGATCCACATGGGAAAAATTATGAGGGGCCTTGTCACATGAAGTTTCTGCTTTTGGGGCCTGGACACATTTTTCCCTTAAATTTTTACTGAAAACAAAAAAAATATATTACTGACAAGTCACCAAACAAAATTCAGTTAGCCTCTAGCGGGTTAAATAAAAATAAATTTGAAAAAAGAATCTCCGTGAAACAAGATTCGTTAATTTAATTTAATTTATTTGTCTGAAAAAAAATATTCACCGACTTAAGGGGACAATGAAAAAAATCCGGCATTGTACAAAAAAGTTCAGAAAGTTTATTACATGCATGATGCTCCAAAGAGAAATACTAGGACAATGTACTTATCTTCAATCTTTTCATTTTTGTACGGATACACAGTTTATCATTAATTGTTTGGAAACACAACAGTGACAACACTCTAAAACAAAAAATAAAATGGGGCTTATTTGTTTCCATGTATATGGTGTGTTTTGCATTGCAAAATGTGACCCACCAGCTTAAAATTCTATATTTTTATCAAATAAATATTGTTTGTTTATTATTTTTCATGCTATGAATTTTGAGTTGTCTGTTTGCGTCGAAAATTAATGTATTCATTACGGTATTTATTACAACTTCAGTCGTTATAATGAAAACAAAAAGAGATAGTATTTTTTTAATACTCTTACACGATGAAAGAAATAAAAGATTACAACTTTCGTCAAACAAACGCAGGGAGATCGTTTATCGATCTTCTGCTTGCGTGGGATCTTTGCATGTGCCGGGGTTTATCCTTGGACGACCGTCGATTAGATCCGGTTGTTGAAAATTCGACAGAGCTTCGCCGAGGAAGTATTTGATTTGAAGCGCTGAGATCGACCAAGCGAAATCAGTAGCTCTTCTCGAGATCAAGACCAAGCCTGATCTCAAGGAAATGGGGGAAACGGGCGTCGGATCTCTCGAACTCTCCTTCTTTATGCCGAAGAATTCGCCAAGATCTGTCAACCATCGCTGAAATTCGTGCTCCTTTGACTCCTCAATCCGGCAGCACCTCATCCTCTTGATAATTAATCCCCCTTGAAATGAGCCTCCGAGCTCGTATTTATAGGCGTCGGTTGGGGGGTTTTTGGATGAGAATGAATGATTCGTCCATATCTTCAGTTAATAACTGATTAACCATGTTAGGGGATGATATCAAGTCAGTTAGGAACCTCAAGAACGACCAAATCCCGAGAAAAACCGTCAAAATTCCCCGACCCGCGGGGGGAGGGGGGGATGTAGCAGAATTCCGACCCGCGGTACTGTAGCAGAATTCCGACACGCGGTACTTTAGCAAAATTCCGACCCGCGGGCACTGTAGCAAAATTTCCGACCCGCGGTACTGTAGCAGAATTCCGACCCGCGGTACTGCGGCAGAATTCCGTCCTGTGGTACTGTAGCAAAATTCCGACCGTGGTACTGTAGCAGAATTCCGACCCGCGGGCACTGTAGCAGAATTCCGACCCGCGGGCACTGTAACAGCCTTAACTCACTCATCCGACCTCGGAATGAGGCGATTCAAGATGCGTTGGAAATCCAACGAGGAGATCTACAGGCTCCCATGATTGAATCATATGTGGAATAAATGGAACACGAGGGGTGCTCCGCCTTTTGTAAACGACGTGGGGCTCCCGATCAGCTCTCATTTTCGTTATTCCGAAGTTCCGTTGCTTCGTATGACCCGTCGACTCACTTCATGTGTTTGTCGTTGTTAAACGAGCTCCTGTGACTCTAATAGCGATGTTTATCATCTTCTCTCTGTCTCGAGCCGTGTGCGAACACTCATAAGCATTTTTAGACGCCTACATTGCCACGTATGATAAATGCATTAAATGATATTTCCTAAAATTATGCTCATTTCACATGAATTTGTGATTTTATTTACATATCCTCAACAAAATGCATGTGCAACCAAACATAATTTGATTGGATTTTATCACTCACTCAAATACGCTTCAATATCAATTGCAAACAAACAAAAAATTCTGAGTAGGGGTTTTTCTAGATCCATAGTATCCATCAAAATACAATCCACGAACCAAATAGCTTAGGGTGTGTTTGGCAAAACCCACCCTTACCCGATCAAGTCCTTAACCAAGTTGGAATCACTCCAATAGGTGGTCCAATCCTAACCTGGTTAAGGAGAGAAATTCGAACTAAAAAAACTAGGCCAGAATTGGCCCAACCCAACACAAGTTCTACTCTTCATCTGGTTTGGGGGAAGTCCTCCACACACCCTCGAACTCCAGAATAAAATTGCTTGCAATTTACAGCACATAACCACTATGCCACAATTTGTTCATAAGTAAATAGATAGCATTACATACAATCACATGGTACTTTTATGGAAACACACACTGAAACTTCAAATTGGAAAAAAAAATCACTCTCTCATTATCTCACTATGAAGCTCACATATAACGTTCACTAATTATTCAAGAGACCAGCCTTCTCGTAGCACTCGACGGTATCAGCAAGGGTCTCCTCAAGCGGCCTAACTGTCCACCCCAACCTCTTCAATTTCTCTGAACTCATCACAGATAGCCTGTCGTCCACCTCAACGAATCTACCATTCGAAAACTTTACAAAATCAAGAGGGACTAAAGCACAGCATGCGATAAAATTTGAAAGGTAAGTTTCACATAACTGCTTTCATCCATGCCTTCAGCTGCACTAAACGCCTATCAACTCAATTTTAGCACTTAGTTCCCCTCAATTCATAGGGAAGAGAGGTATAACTTACAATTTATCTTTCTAAAGAATGGCACCTCAAGGGTGTTAAGTGCTAGCAAATGAATTGAGGGTTTTAGTGCAACTGAAGGTATAGATGAGGGGGGTTTACTTGCAACTCTCCCAAATTTGAAAGTTCGCGATGAGCTTACTTCTTTGGGTACTCGTACTTAGGGTACATTTCCTTTAGCATGCCGACTAATTCGTCAATCTTAAGTGCATAAGGCCCGCAAATGTATCGCCCAGATGCTTCAGGCTTCTCGTATGTCAGAAGCAGTGAATCAGCTACATCTCGCACATCCACAAAATGCCACTTCCTGTTCTCCCTTGACTCGGGGACTCCTGAAAGGTGCACATAATTAAGAAAGGATACAGACCAAAGCATAATGTTAAGATAGGGAATATATTCTTGGAAAGTTGAAACTTCGCACTAGAAGTATTGGCATTCCTTCTCTATGATAAATGGAGAATCTTAGAAATTTTGAAGTTTGGTAATGGTAATTAGAGATTATGTAATTATTAAGATAGGAAGATTTGGGAATAAATTTACCCAGAATGGAAAGAGCGAAAATTAAGGAGGGTTTCTTGGTGTTTTACCCCCTAAGTGAAACTGTGTTGAGTTAAGAGTTCAATGTAACATCCCAAAATAGTACTAATTAAAGGCGGGTTTCTGAATGTTACGGTACCTTGTTCTTTCAAAATTTGGAATATTGGAGAGAAAAGTTTGTTGGTTCATGTTAGTGCGGAAAGGAAGTAAATTATTACTCTACAAAGTATTAGTGTGATGAATATGTAGTTTATAATTCTAGATGGTAGCAAGCATAACATAAATTGATTCCAAACTCTACCAAGAAAATGGTTCCCACTTCCGAGCATCCAGTGAGGATATCGGTTTAATTCTGTGAACAAAATTTTCTTCCTCTAATCATCACGATGAATGATGGATCACAACTATGAAAAAATGACTTGTCTCTCGTCATCAATAGATGAAACCTACTGAATTTAGCCTTCATAAAGTGTCGTCAAAGCTATAGAGGGTCACTCAAGGGTGCTTCTGAGGCTGTTTTAAGGAATTCAGTGATAAGGTAGAGAACATATATAGCTCATGTAAATCGTTTATAAAGATGAGTATGAGGTCACAAAATCATATAAAAATAATATAGAACCTTTAAGTATGTTGATGAGAAACAAGCTGCTAGAATTCACTTTTGATTGAAGTAGTGGACCAAGAACCATAGCCGGCAAGACGGTCACGATATCAAGCCCATGTTTTTTTCCATATTCCAGAGCCTCAGCCTCCGCCAATGTCTTGGAAAGACAGTACCAGTTCTGCAAAAAAAATGAGAGAAGAATGGAACTGAGCTATAAAGCATAACATATGTCAAGTTTTACTTGATAAAGAATTTAACAAATAACTGTCAAACAACTCATTTGCCATGAATTTCAATGATGCATAGGAAAAAAAAGTCATCAAATGAGAAAGAACAATGTTATTCAAAGACCATATTTGCTTAATCGTATTTGCTTAATGCCATTTGAATTTTAGCAAGTAAGGGACTAATTAAGTGCTGCAAAGACCTAGCTCAGTGTTGGATTATGGAAAGTCCTAGTTCCAGAATCAGGCTATAGCTCTCTTCAACAACAAGGAAAAGGGAAGGGATGGTTATTTTCACCTTGTTATCCTGAAGTGAAATGTTACGAGGTATTTACCTCAGTTGTCCTGCAGTACTCACTATCTGACCAACATTCTTCGTCCATGTCTTTATCTTTAGGCCACTTTGGATTCATAAAAACAGAGGCAACAGAGGAGACCACGATGACCCTTTTGACTTTAGCATCGGAACATGCTTTGAGCACGTTTAGAGTGCCTTGTACAGCAGGAGCAAGCAATTCTACCTGAAAATATCAAAGTTAAAGAGTACAAAGATGAGAAGCTACCAAGTCACAATAACTGACAGGATCGTTATTTACTGCCTCTATATGGTTGATTAGTACATTTCCATAATATATTATATATTATATTTATCATTAATCATAAATATGTTAATTAAGGAGCAGCATTATGCCCCTACCTGACATGTGATAGTCACTAAAATTATCGGCAAATGCATGGTAGATACAGGATGCATTAAAGATCAAAACTTGTACTAGTATGTAGATTATCCAAAAATGCATTAGAAATTGTTAACCTCAACATGGCTAACAGACTTAAAGTAAAGACTAATGATATTAAATAGCATTCTGTATTATTTTTTCAAAGAGCCCAAAGTAACAAGAGAAAAACTAGAATCTATGAAAGTAACAAATGATGCCTCTGCTAGTTTGACATAATTCTCTAATTTACTGAATAGGTATGAAAATGATACAGTGTTGTCTGATTGTCCAAGGCACGTACAGATGCATGACATCAAACGTCTCTTGAGATTTAAACTTGCGTCAAAACAACAAATATTTGCATCAGATTCAGAAGTTGGTAGCTGATAAGTTAAAACAAGAAGGGTATCTTTACAAAATTAACATGATTCTATTAAAAGGCTTTGCAGGAAACTACCATAAATCATATTTATTAGAGATAACTACTATAAAATTAGAAATCAGCATAACACATCCTAACCACATTAACAGCAAAATTTAAATTAAAAAATAAAATAAAAAACACACCTATTTATAACTTCCCAGCTCACTAATTATCTTACTGGAAAAGTCTAACTAAGACAAAAACGTCAAAAAAGGATACATGCTTACTTCACGCCGACTCTCACTAACAACAGTTAGGCATGGTAGTTTAGTGAAAAAAAATTACGGTAATATATTAGTTGTGTGAACTTAAACCCTAACAATAACTTCATTCTACAGAATCAAGATGTGTAGGATTCTTGCCTCGGGATTGAGCACTGTGGTCGAAGGAACAGGACTAGCGACATGGAAAACCCCTTCACAGCCTGCAATAGCAGCAGCCACTGCATCGTAGTCGAGCAAGTCTGCCTTAAAGAGTTGAAGGTTCTCTGAGGCTCCATCCAGATTCTTCAGATGAGCATTCTTTTCATCACCTAGAATCCAATTTTTTGCATCGGAAATTAAAAGTAAGTAGCTGATTAAATAAGATAAACACATATAAAATAAGTGGTAATTTTGTGGAGAATAGCTTAAAATGCATCAGAAAAATGTGCATTTATGAGTAATATACAATGCAAAAGATCACTTCAAGAATCAACTTTGGCAAGAAATCAAGTTTCTAATGCTGACACTAATGAAATCAATACAGGGAAGCAGTTAAGAGAAAATTAATATCCAGATCTGCACATTTTGATTACAATTAATCACAGAACAACAAGGATCAATAAACTAACTGGAATTTGGAAATAAAACAAATTTCATTTCCAAAATGACTTCTGAGCCAATACGGAGAAAAATTGAATCCAAGGAACAATAATCTGAGTTTCCACCAGAACTTAATGGACAACTATAGCAGAGATTGAATCTAAGGAGCCCGAATGATTCAAACAAGTCACAAAAAAAGAGTAATTTGAAGACAAACCTATCGCATTTTGACTGATAGATCATAATACAAAAAGGAAGATAAAATTAAAATGCAAACATCCACGCATCAGTCCAAATAAGGAAAATAGAAAATAGTGAAGGCCCTCGACCCAATTTCTTAAAAAAAACTTGATACCCAAAAACAGTAATTAAAAAAATCAAAAGAATAGGTAAATTAAAACAAAATTATCATCCATACAGTAGATTCTTCAAACAGTTCATACCCAAGCTCTAGCTCTCATAGTTATACAAGCATCCATCAAGTTCATATTATGTAACTGAAAATTGGAATTCCAGAAAAAGAATTTTACAAAATATTTTCATGGGTTATACTCGTCAAAGTCAAAGTCCCTCCAACCCATGAGACCAAAACTCTTGGATTACTCTCATATCATGTATGTTAAAAGTACCATTACCCATTACACCAAAATTATGGTACGAGTTGAGGGTTAATAGTTTTATTTATATTCTAACAACACTAATCCAACATAAAAAGGAAAACCCATCAAAAAAATTCTGAGATATAAGAGAAATTGGTTACTTGGATCTCTGACAGTTCCATGGACTATGTAGCCTTTGGAGAGGAGGAGCTTGACGAGCCATGAAGCAATGAACCCTCCTGCGCCTGTCACACAAACTCTCCTCTTCTCTGCTGCTGCTTTCTCCATTAAAATTACCTCTACAAGCGATCCCTTATATTTATTTTCTCTCTCTTAGTATTTCGCCAAATAAAAGCCAAGAACAAAAATAAATTGCGGAGGACACATATTTTATAGATGGTGATAGAGCAAACGCGCAGGTGCGCGTTGGACCCTGCCGAATTCTGACGCAACGGCTTCTGTCATGTTTCTGCTCTGTTTTCTGGACTACAATCTACAAAGCTACGTCATGTTTCTCCTCTTTTCTGGACTAGAGTCTAGAAAGCTCCGCCTGTACAATGAAAGTGACATGGGAGATAAGTTAAATTAGGGCAGTTAGAGCATCTGCAATGGTATACTCTATATTTAGAGGGTTTGAAGAGAATATTCTTCAAGATTCCTCAAATATAGAGGGTTTGTAAAAGTTATGCTCCAATGGTGTCCTCTATATTTATATGAATTAATCTATCATTAACAAACTAATAATGTAAATAAAATAATTAAAACTTATCATTTTTTGTACAAAAGTTATACCTTTAGAACCGTCTCGCTGAAACATTTTAAATGAGATTAATATTGAATATTTTTAGAGCCGATTTTAAATTAGTTTATAGTCTCATTTTGAAGGTTTCGGCAAGACAATTTCAATGATATAATTTTTATTTAAAATAGACGAGTAAATTTAAAATTATATTAAGCTAAATAATTAGTTTAATTATATTTAAGGATACAATTGGTATTTATGAAAAGTTATAATGAGATGTGAAGATAAAATTGAAATTAAAATATATGAATAGTATTATAGAGGGCACCCTCTATATGAGCCCAAACCCTTCAAATATAGAGGGTTACTGTAGCACCCTCTTAATATAGAGGGTGCTACAGTTATACCATTGGAGCCAATGGTACTCCATTTATAGAGAAATGGAGTACCATTGGAGATGCTCTTAAACTCTGAGTTCATGTCCTCAAAATTTTGGACGAAATATTTTATTGGTTTAATTTTAAGCAAAAAGTTTACGTTTCATGATCATTAAAAAGAAAAAAAAACTTTCAAAATAGACCCAATCCACACTTTTATTTTAAACTTCGACACAGTCCTATCTTTATTACAGAATTCGACCCAGTTTCCGATCACGTCAGCATGAAATTGGGTCGTTTTAAAAAAATCAAATTCCTAATTAGTCGGTGTTGGCAACCCGACAAATTAGGACCACCCTTTTACACCCTTGAAGCTCTGTGTGATTAGCAGAGCTAAAAAAAGTCGGGATTGAGAAGCCCGACTATTGAGAAGCCCGATTATTTTGGTCGGGGTTCCCAACCCCGAGCATTTGGCATGTTCTTGGCATGGGGTGCACGAAATGGTCAGGGTTCCCAACCCCCACCATTTGGCAGATATGCCATGCGGTGCACGAAATGGTCGGGGTTCCTAACCCCGACCATTTGGTAGACACCCTCCAGCCCATAGACTTGCTGGAAAATCTCCTATCGCTAACATATATCAATCCTCGACTAAAATTGTCAAGTTTAACACAAACTCTCTTGCTACACATATATCAATCCATAATCAATTTCAATCACAAATAAACACATATCTTTATACCTATATTACATCTATAACCAATTTCAAACAAAAACATAACATGCAATTCACTTACTAAAAATCCAATTATAGTCATAACGTCCAACTAGCATTTCAAACTTAAACATCATAAAACAAGCAATATTAAAGTTTAGCAAATATTTAGAACTCTCTTTCCTTTCGCTCTCCCTCTCGCTCGCCCTCTTCTTCCTCTTCCCCTTCCCCCTTTGCTGGGCCGGGCCAAGTCCGGTACGGGCGCCGACGAAGCGGCCCGGGCTCGGGCCCAGAGCCCGATTAGGCCTGGATTAGGCCTGGTTTTCCAAGCCATGCCCGAGCCTAGGCTGGGCTCGGGCCTCGGGCCCAAATGGGCAGCCCTAATTCCAACTCATCAGTGTTTATCTAACTGCCTAATTGCACTTAAATGCATATACTTTCCCCATGTTTGCATTTATATAACCCCACTTCTCTTTTGGCTGCAATTAAAATACCCTATTGTCTCTGACATTGGAAGACGACAGCTTTTGTTACGTCACTGTGAGAATATCCCCTCAAATATTCCCATGTTACCTAGCTACATGTGCCATCTTTAGGACTTTTCCCCCCTTGGTGTTATTCTAAAACTATAAGTAAATCCATCTCTCACATGTCTTTTAAAGGCGTTAGTCATAATTAATGGAATGAAACAATTAGGTACCTAAGTGCAGCAAAAAAAAAAGTGACGGTATCTGTTATCAGGAGGTATGCCTGAATAATTTCACCAGTTCAACAATTTCAGTTTAATTTTATAAATAAAATCCTCCTGGGCCTAACTGTCCACAAAAATGATGGATCGCAACTATGAAGAAAATGATTTCTCTTGGCCATCAGCAAAGAAACTGTGCAAGTGCGCACAGAATCTCCTCTTGAGAATGGGTAGCAACTTATTACTACATAATTATGATGAAAGAACTAAGGCCACATTTGTTTTGTAATCCTAGGATTTATGGGGTAATGTAATCCGCGGACTATACTCCTGGGATTGTGTTATGCTGAGACTACTTTAGTCTAGCGAACCAATATAATTAATAGGGTTAGAATACGGATATGATCCATAATTTATTAAAAGCTAATAACATACAGATACTGCTACTTGGCGCGAATGTAGGTTGTAGGCCAATTCTCCAACTACCATCGTGCTTACACAATTAACTTCTGATATATGAATACGAAATCACAGCAACTGAAAGGTGCTTGATTGAATGAGAGACAAGATCGTCATTCGCTTCTGCTATGTGGTTGATTAGCACATTCAACAAGATATGATATTATACCACCCGCGGGCGGGACTTCTGGCTAGCGCCACGAAGAGTGATGGAGGAGATCTCCCTAGTTGGTCAGGGGTTCAAATCTCCGCTTCCGCATTCACCCGGTTTCTGTGGGATTAAGGGTGGGTGCAGAAACCCGGGGTTTTACTGGTCAATTAACCCAACCCGTTGTATGCTCACCAGTTTGACTGGGTTTCCCTTGTCACCAAAAAAAAAAACAAGATATAATATTACCGTAAACCCTACTGGTACATGGGTTATAGAAATGCATCAGGATATATGTAAGTTAATAATCGAAACAGGGGCTATGGAATGGGAACTAAAGCGTAAGTTTAAAGAAAAGATATTAAATAGCTTCTCGTCATACAATATTCTAATGAGACCCATATCGTAGTCACTTGATATTTGAATGCCGCTTGTTCAGTTCCACATAACAGGATAATTTCAAATCACGTTGAGATGATACTCACGTGGATTGGTTAATGTAAGTTTGTGTAAGTTATTAACGAATCTATCGAAAGTACATGATTTGGATATAAACAACGGTTTCGTCACACCTCCTTCGTATACAGGCATATTATTCTCAAGATAGTTAATATTCCCATCATATGAACAAAGAATTATGATTCGTTCGTTCATTGTTACCTCTAAAGAGTAAATAAATTCCAATATCAATATTGCACGAAAAACTCTAAAAAATATTATTTACAATTAAACCCTCTAATAGATTTTACACGTCCATAATTTTTACCAAATGTCAAACCTTTATAGTTTTACAATTGCCTAATTTAAATAATTTAAATAATATTCACTTTTAAATTTTGAAAAATAATACACTAATTTTTATAATTTTCCCTAATTTCTCCTCTAATTTCTTATACAAATTTATTTACTTTTTATTCACAAAAATCATAAATATTTTAAAAATAATTTCAATATCTAAATTTAAAATTTTAGGAGAAAAAATAAAAAAAAGTTTAAAGATTTTACCAAAAATTCGTTGATGCCCTAAATTTGATATCCAACGAGCTCCGATGAACTTCGGCGCTTTTCAACCCTAAAAGAGGTCGGCAGTGGCAGTGGCGATGGCGGCGGCGGTGACGGTGGTGGCGGTGGCGGCGACGGAAAGAGATGGATCTAGGGTTTGTGGGTAAAGGAGCAGAGAGAGAGAGAGAGAGAGAGAGAGAACGTGAAATGATATTATGTGAGAGGGGAGAGATACATACCTGTGTGGGTGCGGGCCTACCGTAACTTCACGGGATTTCAAATCCCGTGAAGTTGCAGACCCATTTGCCAGAGAGCTTGTGCTCTCTGGAAGTGGCGCATGCAACCTCACAGGATTTGAAATCCTGTGAAGTTTTAGTTTCACGGGATTTCAAATCCCATGAACATATGGCTATCTCATTAGCCCTTAGTGCATGGAGGTTAATTAGTCCTTAAACTTCACGGGATTTTAAATTCTGTGAAGTTTTCAAATTTTATTTGCTATTTTCGACCCAATTTTAGTCAGGTGGTTGAAACTAGGTTGAAAATGACAAATAAATTTTAAATGGGTCATTTTTTGAAAATAAATTCATAAAGAGTTCTATTTTGAAAATTTGTCCTTCTCATTAGTATTCGTATTTATATTCCAAACACCATTCAGTGGATATTATTTGATGCCAGTCAATCGTTAATGAATTGTATGGGGCTATTTGCAATTTAATATCCCAATGATTCAAACCTTTTTCATCTCCTGAAATTCTATTTTGATAGTTTGACTGTAGCGTACCCAAAAAATTGCATATATATATCAATATAGAAAAGTAAATGAGAAACAACTTTCTTGCCAAATTGTAGATCTTTAAGTTTGGGAAAGTGAGAACAAAAACTTGGAGGTATCGAACTATCAAAATAGAAGTTTAGGGTATCAAAACTAAAGAAAGGATAAATTAGAGTATTAAATTGATAGTTGCATTTAAATAACTCTATCACCCTGAAATTTCATTGATAAGTATGTTTGCAAAAAGAGTCTCCTCCTTACCCAACAAGCTTACCATTAACAAACAGAAAGAAACATACAACAATATATGATAAATCCCCATTTCCCTATTCAAAATAAAATAAAATTTAAAAACCAAAAACCTCTTAATTGTCTCATAAATACTTAAAATCTGTTTCAAAGAGAAAAATGGGAGGGGGGAATCAATCCCCGAAAACTAGGGTTATCTAAGCCCTACGATCAAACAAGACCATACATCTGTCGTTTTAGTCCCACATCGGCTGCTGAGCAGAGCGATAGACCTGGCAACGGGTATCTAAGGAGCGTATGGGCTACCACTAAGGGGCTGTTTGGATGACTTTAGGAAACTAGAGTATTTATGACACAAAATAGAAAGTGGTTATCCACCTCACCACTTTCCATTCGAGTATTTACATTGTTTGGATAGGAATCTTTATGAATCTTAAAATAATAGTATTACATTGTTTGGATAGTATAATGTAAACTAGAGTATTTATGACACAAAATGGAAAGTGGTTATCCACCTCACCACTTTCTACAAGGTTTTGATTTTTTTATTATTCTTTTGGACACATTTATGACATTGTGTAAGCTTTCCAACAAAATCACTCCTAATTTTTTAGGAAACTAGAGTATTTATGACACAAAATAGAAAGTGGTTATCCACCTCACCACTTTCCATTCGAGTATTTACATTGTTTGGATAGGAATCTTTATGAATCTTAAAATAATAGTATTACATTGTTTGGATAGTATAATGTAAACTATAATATTTATGACACAAAATGGAAAGTGGTTATCCACCTCACCACTTTCTACAAGGTTTTGATTTTTTTATTATTCTTTTGGACACATTTATGACATTGTGTAAGCTTTCCAACAAAATCACTCCTAATTTTGATGATTTTGCTTTCGATGATACCTCATCAAAAGGTGTAAGCTTTTCATGTAAAAGAGAATTGAAACAAACAATGTAAAGTGATGAAAGCTGACATTGAGACTCACTTTTTTACACTTTCCATCATTTTACATGGTAAAAACATACAACCAAACAGCCCCTAAAGGCATACCTTTCTCGGCCTTTTGGCTAAGATCAAGTGTAGTATTTGTTCTTATCAGTTTAATATCTGATGCTTGGGTCATCAGCACGCTATGATATTAAATTAATTTTTGTTGGAGGAGGGCCCACCACTGCAGCTTGCTGCTAGGGACCTTGAGCGTCGTCCGAGCGTTGCACTACTGCACAGGCCTGGCGCGCCACAGCACCCCTACCAATTCAACGTTTAAACTTTACTTCGCTGCTAATTTTGATTGTTGAGCTTTATTTGCGCAGTATCTAGTTGCTACCTCAAAGTCTCAAATAGAGTATAAAATATGCATGAAACATTATTGAATTTGAATTAATTGAAACAGTATCCTGATAGGAAACCTTTAGCGGCAGCTCTAGATCTTTATGATGATAAGGAAATCTTGATTTCTATTATGATAAATAATTTTTCATTATTGGTCGACTAAAGTGATTTACGAGATTAATGGGCATTCTCTCGTAAACAATGATAAAGTTTAATCTCAACCAAGTATTGCTGCGATGGTTTCTCTGGTTTTTCTCTTCTCCTTTATTTACTTTGCACATATTAAGCCACACGAAAGGAATCTCTCATAAGGATACACATTATTCACTTATTATGTTTCTCCCAATAATTACATAATATAAATATTTAGGTTCGAAACTTCAACTAATCTGTTTTTCCCAATAATTACATAATATAAATATTTAAGTTTGAAACTTCACCGACACAAATCCTTTAAAATGAAAATAAATATTTACACTGTTAAGATGGATTAGTCATGAATTTATATCAGTACATTTATCTTCAAATATTTTTTCGCGCCCCCAACCCCCAACTCCTCCCCCTCTCCCCTTACTTGATACAAGGGTTGTCAATATCTTGGAAATCCAACACTCTGTAACAGCAAAATAAAAATCTCAGACTCTAGGATAACATTGCCTGCAGTTTACAGCACAGGGATCACTATTGCAGAATTTATACAATAGATCAAATATTCAATCACATTGTACGTTATTGGAATATACATTAATTACTCTCCCAATGTCCACAACTATGAAGCTCATATATATAAATCACTAGTTATGCCTGTATTCAAAAGACCAGCCTTCTCATAGCACTCGACAGTATCAACAAGGGTTTCCTTAAGAGGCCTAACTTTCCACCCCAGCCTCTTCAATTTCTCGGAACTCATCAGGGGTCTGTCTTCTACCTCTATGAATCTGCAATTAATTTTTTTTTAATAGTCAGAGGAACTTCTACAGCACAGAACACATTGACAAAACATTTAAAATTTTGCAATAAGGCTTACTTCTTTGGGTACTCATACACAGGGAACTTTTCCTTTAGCATGTTAACTAAATCCAGCATCTTAAGTGGATGTGGCGCACAAACGTATCGTCCAGATGCTTCAGGCTTCTCATATACCAGAAGCAGCGAATCAGCTACATCTCGCACATCCACATAATGCAAGCTCCTGTTCTCCATTGACTCAGGGTTTCCTGTAGTGTGCACACCATTAATAAAGAGTACACACCTAAATACAATCTCCGAAAGGCAAAATATTTTTTGATAAATGGAGAAACCGAGCCACTTTTTAAGCTTGGCAATGAAAGAGAGAATATCTAATTATTAAGATTGGAAGATTTCGTGATGGGAAGGAATGAAACTTGAGGGTTTCTGGGTGTCACGCCTTATTGATTCAAATTCAGAACATCGGAGAGAGAAGTTTGTTGGTTCATGTTAGTGTCAAAAGGAAGTAAATAATGCCTATTACTCGACAATGTATTAGTATGAAAAGTAGATAGTATTCAAGAATTGATTGCAAATTCTACCATGGTTCCCCCGTCTTCCTAGAATGCAAATAGCACTGGAACTAGTTATTGTTAGGAACATGGTATTAATTTCAAGAGTAAAACAACATTTAGTTTCTGCTTAAACAGAAGAGACTGGATCAAGTTATTGACAATCAGGTATGTACAGGTTCATTGGGATAAAGCATAGTCCTCAAACATGCACGTGTTCATTTTGTCTAAAGCCTAATCCTTGCAGCTCTGTGCAGTGTGATCCTGTCACTCCTCTGAACAGTAAACCTCATCAATCTAGTTCCAAACGTCCAAATTGACCAACTCAAATAAGTATTCCCCATAATATCCCTTATTTGCCTCTCTAACTTATTACAGTTTCATATATTCATAATCCTACATTTTAACGGACTCGATCATAGTCATTAATCTGAATGTTCTTGTATCAGACTGAGGACCTAGTTATGAAAAAATTGACTTCGCTCTCGCTCTTGGCCATCAAAGGAAATATTTTCTTCCCACAGTTTTGTTAAAGCTGCACCTTGTTTTTTGCTCCACCAATTCTCACTTCTGAATATTCAAAAAGTTTCAAATGCACAAGACACGTATAATCTCATCTGGAGAATGGATAGTAACTTAATCCATAACTATGAAGTACAGACTAGATGATGGCTCTAGGTGTCAACTCTATGGTGATACGTAAAGGCCCTCATGCTGAACCTTATGCTAATATATGATGAACCTAAACTTCAGATTCTGAAGCTTTTTTAATGTTAAATTCAATATAATCAGAAAACAAAACAATCATAAATACAATGATATGCTTTGTAGTTTTTCATCCATAACTTATCACATTAATGCTGGGTGAAAGTCTGGTGTGATGATAGGTTGTGGACCAATTCTCCTACAACTACCAGCAATACTTACACAACTCCATAGATGTCCTTGATCACACGACATGCTGTCTTTAAAACCACCAGTAATCACCACAAGAACCCTGCGGCAAACGTTTTTGAAATTTATGAAAAATACATCTACAGTATATATTTTTCTTGTTTTTATTTATCCGTGAATATTTCAATCGTTCATCTTAGTAGATAACTTGCATAATCAACCTCCTTAGTTTATAAATGGATTTTAGAATTTTATGATTTCTTTTAGAGTCATAACTGAATTACTCTCATCCAAGTTTAAAATCATGGAAATGTGTCATGGTGTTACACATGATTTGTTTTTATTCGTTTCCGCAAGATAGAGCAGTGTCAACACAGAGCTTCGTGACGACATCCATAAATGTAAGATGAAAAGACAAACTAAGGTGAATATTTCTCTAGAGTCAGCCAATGAAATATATTATCTCAAATATGACCATAAGGTCTATCCAAAGGAACTAGGTAAGCCATACAGAGAGATCGCTTCTTACTCTTTCATATTTATGGTTGGATGATCTCTGACTCTCTGTTTGGATTTAGGTAAGGTTAAACCACATAAGTTTGGTGTTTTTCTCCTTTTCTGTATTTATTGCATGCATTTCTTATATGTCCCTCACTTTTGGATCAACATCCTAGGGCTAGGGCAACAACTTTGACAACTGCTCCTCAAACCTGGAATTTTGATTCAACGCAATGATGCATGGCACATCTATGAAGAGCCTTTCCATCTTACTAGTTTGCGGTCCGTGCAAAGCACGGTATTTTATTTTATTTTATTTTGCTACAGTAACCCCGCTTTTTTAATATGGCATGATTTGAATTTTTGGAAGTGCTACAGTATACCCCGTGTGCTACAGTAATATTTTTACTTAATTATTAACTGCAGTAATATTACTACAGTGAATGCTACTGTAGTGTTTACTGTAGCATGAACAGTGAATCTCTGATCCTCCTATTTGTATAAAGGAATAGATATACTATTTGTCAAATTCTGTTAAATGTTATTTTAAAAAATTGCTAAATGTCAGCGGGCGCAATTGTATCATATCTGTGTGTCTGTTTCTTAGGCTTATAATTAAGTAAAAACAGACTATCAAGCAAGATACACAAAGTCTGTCAATATTTTCCACCATTTCTAATGAACATGGTTAGTTTCGTTACTTACTTTTCTTGTATAGTTTCATACTTTTATTCTTAACACTGGTCCCACGAAATGTTTAAAAAAACTACTTTTATAGAACATACCACAAATTTTAAAACAATCGCATAAGAATAATAAAACCTTTCAGTATGTTGATGAGAAACAAGCTGCTAGAATTCACTTTTGATTGAAGCAGTGGACCCAGAACCATAGATGGGCAGACGGTCACGACATCAAGTTCGTGTTTTCTTGCATACTCTAGAGCCTCAGTCTCTGCTATTGTCTTAGAAAGGCAATACCAATTCTGCAAAAATAATGAGACGAGAACTAAATTCAGTTCTAAAACACAACATATGACTAGCATTACTGTTTTGCTTGCAAAAACAAATCAACATGTAACTGTTAGACAACTCATTTGCTATAAATTTCTATGATTCCATAGAAAAAATTGTCATCACATGAGAGCAACGGTATTGAAACTGCATTGCACAATACCATGAGCATTACAACAAGCTACTAAGTGCCGATGGGGCTCAGTATTGAGGGCACAATGTTGGCATATGAAAGGTCAGCTTTGTTCAAACAAAAAGGAAAAAAGTAGGGTATTCCCTATAATACCCTTAAGTTTTATCATTGTTGACTCTAGAAACAGTAAGTTTCACCATTGCTGACTTTAGAATCCTAAAGTTCAAATTTGCTCATTTTTAACCTCACTAGAGGGTGTTTAGGATTAAAAAAAAAAATTCAGGCTTATAAGGTATGCTAGCTTTTTTTGACTTTTGGCTTTTATGATAAAATTTATAAAAAATGTTTGGGTATAAAGTCATTTGCTTAGTCATACTTAGCTTATCTAGATGAGCTTATAAGCCAGTTTTTCAAAAGTTGGGGAATCCAAACTTTTTTAATTGGACTTTGTCAAAGGACATCGCCACTAAACCAAATATCTGAAGTTGTGGTGAGGGTTGAGCCTTATAGTTTTACATTCTAACATTCTCCCGTGGTTGATTCATGGGGCGAAAACTGAACTCTCGGAGAGGTGTCTTTTTTAAATTCGCTTTAGAAATTCGTGGCCAACAAGATGTGAACCTATGCTTCTTTGATACCATGTCAAATAACCTTGTCATTGCATCAAAACTCTGAAATTGTAATGAGAATTAAGGATTATAATTTTATATTCTAGCATA